GGCCCCCCTCTGCTAAGACTTCCATGGCCTCCGGTGACCAATGGCCCCATTGTAAAGGGGGAACAATAGCAATGGCCTCCACCCCTAGTCCCACCCAATCGCGTCCCGTCCCCGCTGCAACAATGACAACAAACGGCTTGTGTTAGAGCAACAATGCATATTGTTGTATCCCACACTTCCTTTACGACAGCAAAGGGGGGGGGGGACAAAGCTGGAATCCTGGCAGTACAGAAGCCTTTGTCCACATCCACTGATAGGCCAGGGCTGAAAGCGGAGGAGTTGGGAGATGGGTCAGGAGCACCAATCACAGGCCTCGTTGTAAACTGGGTGGGTGGTGGCATCCAGTCACAGGTCTTGACACAAATCAGGTGGGTGGTGGCATGTGGCTATTTGCTATAGTTAAAACCTTTGTGGAGCAGTGGTAAAATTCAAATTACAGGGCACTTCCAAGGAGAGTCCTGCGAAAGCCAGTGTGGTGTAGTGGTTAAGAGCAGTTGACTTGTAATCCGGTGAACCAGGTTCGATTCCCCACTCCTCCACATGCAGCTGCTGGGTGACCTTGGGGTTGTCACACTTCTCTGAAGTCTCTCAGCCCCACTCACCTCTCAGAGTCTTTGTTGTGGGGGAGGGAGGGAAAAGGAGATTTGAAACTCCATAAAGGTAAAGGTAAAGGGACCCCTGACCATTAGGTCCAGTCATGACCGCCTCTGGGGTTGTAGCGCTCATCTCGCTTTATTGGCCGAGGGAGCCGGCGTACAGCTTCCGGGTCATGTGGCCAGCATGACTAAGCTGCTTCTGGTGAACCAGAGCAGCGCACGGAAACGCCGTTTACCTTCCCGCCAGAGCGGTACCTATTTAGGCTTTGACTGGCTGGCTAAGCCAGGTGAGGGGAACCAATGGGTCTCAAACCCTCAGTGTGTTCGGGACTTCCCCTGCATGCAAAGACAGGCTGTGGTCGATTGAGTAGACAAGACCAATAGCAGGTCCAGTGGTCCAGAAGGTGGTTTCTGCACGTGCTGTAGAGGGAAGTGAGGGGCAGATGGGGCTCGTCCACCTGGGAAGGAAACCCATCTAGAAGGAAAACTCTGGTGCTAAACCTCCATGGCCTTGAGGCTAAACTCATTCGTGAGAAAGGCTTGGGAGTAAACCCAATGGGAAAATCTGTACCCTCTGCCTTGTGGGACATCTTCGGGAGAAGAAAAGGCTCAGGAGTAAACCCTATACAAATCCAGAGTGGGGTTCCTAAGACAGTTGGATGGTGCCTTGTACTCCTCCTTCCGGCAACTCCTTCAGCCAAGCTGGGGCCAAACGTCTTGCTCTGCTTTCCTTTGGTCCGTATCAGGGATGCTGGGGGGGGGTGACTTCTGGGCAGCCCAGGACCCCCATACACACTGCCCAGGCTTGCACTCCGAGGAGGTCACTTTGGTGCTGCTAACACAGTGCTTTGACTTCACCCCCGAAAGCAAACTCCATTGTCTCTCGAGAAGAAGAGTTTGGATTTGATATCCCGCCTTTCACTCCCCTTCAGGAGTCTCAAAGCGGCTAACATTCTCCTTTCCCTTCCTCCCCCACAACAAACACTCTGTGAGGTGAGTGGGGCTGAGAGACTTCAGAGAAGTGTGACTGGCCCAAGGTCACCCAGCAGCTGCATGTGGAGGAGCGGGGACGTGAACCCAGTTCCCCAGATTACGAGACTACCGCTCTTAACCACTACACCACACTGGCTCTCTGAGACAGAAAAATGCCTAAAATTCTATTTTTACCGCCAGGGAAGTGCAGGAGGTGGGTTTTCTTTTTAAAAATATTTATTAAAAAATTGCATTTTAATATTATCCTTTCTCAGTAAACATGTTTTGCATGTAGTTTTGATTAATAAACACGTTTTTTTGCTGTCTGGCATACCTCTCAGGGTTACAGTGAGAATAAAAACGGGATGATGGCAGGTACAGTGCCATCAGCATCTTGGTGGGAAAGTGGGATCTACGATTGTGATAGCTAGTTAGCAAATTAAGCCTACAATCCCAGCTCCACTCACCTGGAAGCCCCATCAAATTCAATAGGACTTATTTCTGAGCAGACATGGTTAATACTGTTTAATCTTCTATGGTACAATGTAGAGGGGCAAACATATGTCAACAGCACCCTCTAGTGGTGAATGATGGGAAAGTTTGGATATCACTTTCTTATAATGATCAAAAAATTTCCCAGACAATGGCCAACAAGTAAGGGAAACTGTGTTGCAGCACCTGATGGGATGAATAGCACCTGTGAGTGGAGACACAATGTGCATTTTTATGTCTACTCAGGTGCAAGAAGTGTAGTGGCAAATTCAGAAGTACAGGGTCCCTTCACCCTCTGTGGGATAACCAGTCTTGTATAAACAATATGCTTAAATCTAATTAATGCATGAAGGGGTTAAAACCATAAAGTAAGCTGTCCTGCCAGGCCTAGCTATGTTACTTCCCCTTATCTTGGGAGTAAATAGGTAATCAGATCTGTCTACCTGAGAAGCTCAGCATGTGAAGAGCTTTAGACTGGTTGCTCCAGCTCTGCTGTACGGCTCTCACTTTTGAGTTCACATATCAATAATCTAGGAACATTTACTACTTTGTAACTAAACTAAGTTCTACTGCCTCTGCAATTTTTCTGAAGCACATGAACATGACCTTTGAAGGCTTTGCAAGTAAACCAATCTTTAACTTAGCATATATGCCACATTTTTCCTCTGATGAGTGAGGAGGGAAACTTTGGAAAGAAACTGTGGGGACATTTTGGAACTCACTTTGAGGGTCACATTTTAAAGGACTAACAGCCTATATTTTCACAATTTACTTTGCTGCATACTTTGTGACTTTAAATCTCTGCTGGGGTTCCCACACCAAAGACTACTTGCCGCAAACTTGGATCTTGGCATCCAGTAATGTATTTTGCACCAATACTCTCACAGCCACAACTCCTCACAGCCACTCCTCCTTCTACAATTATACAATAATCTTATAACTATGCAATAATAATTATAATTGCAATGTATCCCTAATTATAATTATGCAATAGTTATAATTAGGGATACATTGCAATGATCGGTGGAGATCTCCATGTGTTGCCTTTCAGCTAGATGTATTATTTTCCATGTACATACATAGGCAAATAATTTGGAGTGCTCCAATATCTTATTTTGGGGTGGCTTAAGCTGTTTTCGCCAAAGAATTGATGCTTTTGAATTATGGTGCTGGAGGAAACTCTTGAGAGTCCCGTGGACTGCAAGAAGATCAAACCTCTTCATTCTTAAGGAAATCAGCCCTGAGTGCTCACTGGAGGGACCCTGATGTTGGGAAAGATGGAGGGCACAAGGAGAAGGGGAGGGCAGAGGACGAGATGGTTGGATAGTGTTCTCAAAGCTACAAACATGAGTTTGACAAAACTGCGGGAGGCAGTGGAAGACAGGAGTGCCTGGCGTGCTCTGGTCCATGGGGTCACGAAGAGCCGGACACGACTAAACAACAACAAAAAAGCTGTGTTTTCCTTGAAGAATTTAAAATGATGCAAGTAATTCCAGCCTGAACATCTGTGGCACAAAGGTATTGAGGTTACGGGGGGTGGGGTGGCTGCAGTTAAAAATGGATCATTTCACAAAAGCATCAAATGGAATTTCTTGCACTTGCGTATGCCATTTATTACATTCACCAGGAAGACAACTTTGGCATCGTTAAGCCACTTTGAGTAGACAAAAATGCTTAAAAATAAGCACAAAGCCCCTTACTTCTCTTTTGAAGCTGTGCTGCTATGAATAAAAGATTAATAGGGATATGGTACCTAATTCGGAAGGCATTCGTCAAAATGATGTGATAGCACTCTTGAAGTACCTTCTACAACCCCTCTCCCAACTCTGTGAAAAAGGCAAAAGGCACTTAATTCCTTGCTTTAAGGGATAAATTCAGCATGGATAAGAACTAGCAACCAGGCTAGTTCTTCTAGGCCCCATCTCCACTCTGCATTTAATCTGCTGGTTAGCCTGAACTTTCTATTGCAATCCTCCCAACGTGTTTTTTAACCACACCAAAAAATGTGGGAAAATGATAAAACGATGGCAATAGTGTATGACATTTTAAGTTCCACCAGGAATTTGGGAATAAGTCAGGAGACAGTGGGCTGCTCCCGCTTACGCATTCATGGTGGTTTTCTGCTGCTGCTGGTACTGAGGTGGTTATACAGGATTATTCCAATACCTTTTGCACCTGCAAATGTTTTGTGGCAGACCTGCTTGCTTTGTTCCCTATCCTGTGTCTTCCTGCTGAAATCCTGTAGCATTTTATACGACTGATGTTTCGGTTTGTTTATTGCCCTTAGTTTGTCATTCAGCGGGACCCCTCCAGATAGCAGTAATGCAATTAACATGGGGGCAGTATTGCAGAACCAATAGAGCAGAATGATTTGTCAGCAGTCCAATGTAAATCCACCGCTATTGCACTATTGTTGCATCCATGTCATGTTGCAAAAATGAACAGCAGCGTAAAAGGCCTTTGTACACTTGCCTTGACGGAATATAGATTTTAAAAACACTTGGGTTTAACAGTTTTCTGTAAGTTGTTCTGTAAAGATGTAAGGTAGTCTGGAGCTATTGCAAATCGGCAATCAGCTCCGATCTAGGTGTGCAACTCATCACAGAATAATGACAACACATTATAGCAATGGACAATTTGGGTCAAATCAAGGATGCCTTAAGAAAGCAGTTCTCTTCCCCCAGCTAGGAATTAATGCAAGATTTAAGAGTTGTGATGGCGAACAGCTTTAGACCAGTGTTTTTTGGACTACAACTCCCATCATCCCTAGCTAGCAGGAACTGTGGTCGGGAATGATGGAAGTTGTAGTCCAAAAACAGCTGGAGAGGGACCCAAGTTCAAGAAACACTTATTTAGAGTAAGAACGCATCATCAAGGAAAGCTTGGCTGTTACTTTTATTTAAAGTGTTTTTAAGGAAAAAAATCACAGCAGAAACTGGGTTGGGTGGCTTATTTTATTGAAAACCAATGACCAAGTTCGTTGTTATATACAGTCTTCCAATTCATAAAAGCATCCAGTCCTTTCCTAGATACAAAACCATTTTCCATCCCCACCGGTGAGCCTTTTTTTGGAAAGGACCCAGGCGGGGTAGGGGAAGCGGAGGAGAAAAAGCAAGCAAGCTGCAGTGTAGTTTAGAGAGAGGTATGCAGTTCTCTCTAAACTAAGATCAACCCAGAAGGTTCTCTCTGGCTCCACGTAGTTCCAGCTCATGTAACAAGGACATGAAAGTATTTTCAGGCTGAGGGCCACATTCCGTAGTGCGCAACCTTTGGTGGGCCACGTTCCGGGAGCGGGCAGGGCCAGAGGCAAACGCTGAATGTGAATTTTACCTACATACAATAGGCTAATTTCTACACACACACACAACCATTCACCATCCAGGCAAGCGAGAGGCATTATTTGGACACATTCCATTCAGGCAAAAACCACTCAACAAGTGTGTGAGGTAAGGTCAGTTATGGGCGTGGCCAGGACAGAGGGGGCGTGGCCAGGACAGAGGGGGCACATGGGCTTCATTTAGCCCCTTGGCCTGAATTCCCTCTAGTGGGGAAGCGGCCATTTCGTTCACTGGGTGTTCAAAATGGAGTCACTCTCGCTTTATCAAACCAGGTTTCTATTGGAAAAAGTGGGGTGGGGGGGAATATAAAAGAGGCTGAAAATCCAAAACCATGCAGTTTAAAAAAAAAAAAAAATCACGGAAGCTTTGAAGGAAGAGGAGCATGGGCGATATTTTCCGGAAAGGTACAACAGCAACATTAAAAATAAAGACGAGTGATAAAAATTATACAACACCTGCAATTCAAAAAACCTGCCACAAGACACTTGCAGGGCTAACCCATGACAAAAGTGCAGCAGTTTGCCTTAGGAAGAGATCAAGGGAGGGGGAATTCAGGAGAAAAATAGAAAGTGATTCATCCTCTTTTTAAAAAAACAACAACATTAAAAATGGTGAAGGCATGGGTTTTTCGGGACAGACAAAAGAACGAACTTGATCATTCGACACCTATTTAATTTAAGGAGGTTGCTAACACAATAGCCGGCTGGCTTTGGTGACTACAAGAAGGGAGGCTGGGCAAAGTAACAGGAGCCATGATGGCAATATACCACCTCCACTTTCAGTGACGGCATGGCTACTGAAGCCCAGGTGTGGAAAGACAACACAGCCAGTGAGGGCATTGTGTTGCCAGCGTGAAAGCAGGTGGCGCCACCTCTCCTCACCCATTCCATATACCAGACGTGGGGAACCTTTGCTGAAATACAATTCCCATCAGCCCCGGCGAGGCCACTGATCCCAGGAGTTGTAGATCAGCAACAACTGGAAGGCCAAAGGTAACTCCACACCCATCACATGCAGAAGCTACAGTTCCCAGGAGCTGTTTGGCAGCCAATCCTTCTTCCCCAAGGGACTCTGCGAGTTGAATGGGGTTCTCCCAACAGCTCTCAGCAGTTTCTGGCACTGTTTAAAGTAGGAGGAGGCTATTTCAAATGTGTAGAGCAAATGGGGCCAAACTTCAGTACCGGTGATGGAACTGCTTCCTCAACTGCCCCCAAAATCAGCTTGCTAGCTTAGGAGGCATGCGGGTACCACTCTGTGGCTGCTCCCGGCCCCTCAGCAGATGCAGCCTGAGGCAGACACTTCACTCTGCCAAATGACAGGACCGGCCCTAACAGGAGTCGAGGGCCCTTAGCTCCCCACCTGCAGGTTTCCCAGGGGGATCTGGTTGGTCAATGATGGAGCTTTGGCCTGATCTTGCTTGCATTCCTACAGGTCCAGAACCCTGGACCTTATTCCACAGAATTACAAAAGCAGTTAAGGCAGAGAACTTTTAGGAACATTATTGGGGTTGGGGATAGGAGGGAGAGCAAAGGAGGGAAACCTAATTTCTCCAAAGGAGGTGGCCACTTTTGAAGACCAAAGGCATGCTTTTAAGAATCCAGGGATGCTTCTTAAAAAGGACCCGTTAAAAATTAGGTGGCTTGTTTTTCCCCCTTTGAACCACAACGCTTCACTAACACTCCCTTAAGGCTGGTTGGTCTAAGTGAAATTGCTGGTTGTTTTGCCACACCTATTCCCACCTGGGCATAATGCTGCGTTTTCAAAATATAATTTATATGTACAAATATATTAGAAAGAAGGAAGATAATAATGGATATGACTTGCACGTGTGTTTAGGAGAGGGGAGAGAGACGCAATCCACAGAAACCAAGTGGGGCTATAATAATATCACAGGTAAATGCTTCCCTTTCGTCGGTCGTGGGCAGGACATTAGAGTACAACTTAGCAACAGGTGTCAACTGTGTTGGTAAGCACCTTTTCCGAGAGGATGAGGCAGGTGAGCAAAAGGAGGCGGTTCCTAGCTCAGCGGTGGAGCACCTGGCTTTCGCATGCAGAAGGTCCCAGGTTCAGATCCCAGCATTTCCAGGTAGGAATGGAAATGGGCACTGCCTGAGAAATCCCAGATAGGGACTGCCATTTAGCACACACAACACTGGACAACCTGACTCACAACTTCACCATGCGCAGGCATTAGCTGGCACGACAGAAAAAGCAAGTCTGGTTGTCCTCGTGGTGGGAAACCGACATGGATGCTTCTACCCTGCAATGTGTTGCAGATGAAAAAGTGCGGATTTTAAAAAAAGTCTTATTAAGACTACAACTCCCATCATCGCCGACTGGCTGGGTGGTACTGAAGCTGGTTTGTGTGTGTGAACTTTGGGAGGGGGGGAGAGAGAGACAGCAGAGAAAGTGTCAACATGCCCCACCCCAATACATATAGACACGTTCAACTGCTCTTTCCATTAAAAAGGAAAGAAAGATCTGAGGATTTGTTAGATAAATCTGGACGTTAGATTCTTCCCTCCACTACGTTAAATATGGCTATGAACTGCCTGTCTGTCCTTGGAACTCTTTCTATAGCAGGAGTGGGAAACACGTGGTGTTCAAAACGCTGCTCGACTAGCAATCCCATCAACCCCAGCAGAGAGCATGGCCAACGGGTGAGGGACGATGGGTATGGCAGTCTGACAACAGGATGCACTTGTGGTCTTAGGTCAGCAGAGAGATGGCAGCTCAACTCAATCACTGCTTCCAGAGCAACTTTGGAGAGGGTGAGACTCTGCTTGTGTTTAAAGAGGGGTTTGTGTATGTGTGTGTCTACTGATTTTGCCACACAACTGTGACTGGACAGAGCATTTAGAAGAAACTGATAATATATTACATTTAGCTGTGGAAAACTAAAGGAGATGTCTGTTTAGGCCTAAGAAAAACGGCTGTTAGAATTAAATGAGTAAATTTTTTTGGGGGGGGGGGGGCGCGATAACAAAACTAAGAGTCGTGTTAAAAACAGAATTATAGGGGTGAGTCCTTCCCAGACTTCCACAGTGGAGAACATTTAAATAACTCTTCCATTCTGCTCTAAGAGCTAGTTTTCGACATACAGGGAGTAACTGGGGTGTGGGTTCAGTTCATAGATATCAAATCATAGAGTTGGAAGGGACCACCAGAGGCATCTAGCCCAACCTCCTGCAATGCAGGGATCTTTTGCCCAACGTGAGGCTCAAACCCACGACCCTGAGGTCAAGAGCCTCGTGATCTACTGAGCTTTTTTATTTTATTTTAATGCGATCTGCCGCTTGCAAGATGAAGTGACACCACCCAAAAAACAACCAGCCCCGCAGGTCTGCTGGTTAACCTGCGACAGGTGACACTTCTGTGGCTGCTGTGATTTTGTATGCAGTTTCAGATGGGCTCAGCTCTCTCCAAGCAAAAGTACGCATGCTCATAGACACACAAACATACACACACACGTATACACACACACAGCTGCATTTCAACAAGGCGCCTGGTTTTAAAAGTAACACAACGTGCTTTTCTCAAAACCCACCCGAGGGAGAGTTGTCTTGAGCACCCTTCAACCCTTAAGCAGATTGTGCGTGGCTACAGTTGGGACCGAAGACGTCAAAAACGTGTCATTCATAGAGGCCTCTTGTTAAAAAATAATAATAATATCGCTCTCTAAGTCCAGCATGATGCCGAGAAAGGGGGTGGGAGGAAAGAGAAAAATTATTTTTGGGGGGGTGGGTGGGGAGGGGAGGAAGCAGCGAAGACATTCATTCTCTTTTGTGCAAACCACAGTTGGTGCTATAAAAATCCTTATTCCGTTTTCTCTCCCCGCCAGGAGAAGGCAGGGCTGGTTCTTTTGTTCCGATGGCGAGGTTCCGTGGGACTTTTAGGAGTCCTCTCCCAGGATTTCTGTGACGAAGGAGACCATATCAGTCTCGCGGGTGTCGTGCATAGTGAAGAACGGGTGGGCCTGTTGGGGAAGGAGAACGGTTTCAGTTTGGGACAGGGAGAAGAGGTCTCATCTTGCACAAGGAGCAAAGGAAGAGGCGGTCATAGAATCGTGGCCTTGGAAGGCACCCCCAAAGGGTATCTGGTCCAGCCCCCTGCAGTGCAGGAATCACAACTAAAGAGTCCCTGATAAGATGGCCGTCCAAACTCTGTTTAAAATCCTCCAATGAAGGGCAGTCATTTCCTGGATAGCTCAGTAGGTAGAGCATGAGACTCTTAATCTCAGAATCATGGATTTGAGGCCCACATTGGTCAAAAGATTCCTGCATTGCAGGGGGTATGCCCCGCGGAGGACCTTAAGGCCCACAAATGACAACATTTTGGAGGTCCCAAGTCGCAAGGTGGTTAGATTGGTCTCAACTAGGGCCAGGGCCTTTACAGTACTGGCCCCGACTTGGTGGAACGCTCTGTCACAAGAGACTAGGGACCTGTGGGACTTGACATCTTTGTGCAGGGCCTGCAAGACAGAGCTGTTCCGCCTGGCCTTTGGTTTGGACTCAAGTCTGACCCTTATGTTTCCATCCCCTTATGGTTTTTGATCTATGGGCTACTTTTAAAATGAGGCGGCATTTTAAATTGCATTTTAACCTGTATTTTAAATTGGTCCCCCCCCCCATTATGTTTTTACTGTAATTCTACTGTTGTTAGCTGCTCTGCACCAGGCTCTGGCCAGGGATGGTGGGGTATAAATAAAAGTATTATTATTATTATTATTATTATTATTAATGACTCTCGTGGTCCCTTCCAACTCTACAATTCTATTAATTCCTTGCTGGCACCACATAACCCTTAACCAAATTTGGAGAAGGAAAGAAGAGACACTCACCATGAGTTCCACATAACTCAATCGTTCAGCAGGATTCTTCCTCAAACTAAGAGAATGAAAAACAAGGAAAGAAAATTCATGAGAGTTGAGGTCGGTTGTACAAAACATTAAGAACTTTAGAGGAAAGCTGGATAGGTATTATGTTGCTATGAAGGAAGTAAACATAAAATGTAACTTTTTCATAGTAATGAAGCCATTGGTTTTATTTGTGTGGCATTTTAATATAGTCCTGAATACTCATCAGGTTGTTTTATGTAAACAGAGTTTTGTGATATATATAGTTATGTGAAACAAATGTTTTGGTGATTAAATGCATCCTACCAAGACCCAGAAGAAACTTGAGTGCTGTGTGAAGCTTTCATTACTCCCAATCTATATTATCTCTGCATAACATTAACAAAGGTTTATGTTTGAAAAAGGAAAAAACAATAGTTTGCATCATATTTTACTCATACATGGGGTTTTTTGGGGGGGGGATGGGGGTGGGGGCAGGTCCCAGTATTCTGCTCTTGTTGTAGGCAGCTTTTATGTTGCCTTTTAATTACACATTATAATTTCAATCTGCATACATTTCAGCTGCCCAAATTCATCAGGGACGGTCCCTATTTCCTCTCACCTGTTCCTACAAAATTGCTTTCGCTGCTTTTGCCTTCTGCAGAGCTGCAAGAATGCAAATTTCTGGATTTGCCATACTTAAGGGTATCAGCTTGCTACCATGTGACTCAGTAATACCAAAAGCAACACGATGGCCTGAAACAATTACAATATAGAAAACTTTACGTAATAACGCAGAACATTAAAATTATCAAACTGAAGTCTCTAAAAGTCCTTGAATAAGTCACGGTGCCAGATTTTACCCGGCAGAGATCAAGCTTATAAAGCTTTGTATGATCAGCAAATGTCCAAATCTGAACTCTGCTGAACAGTGTTTCCGGATAGCAACTACTGTTTCATTCAGTTCTTCATCACTTTGATAATTTTGATGTTTTGCATTATTCCATAAAGTTTTCTATACTGTAAATGTTTCTGGCCATCATGTTGTTTTTGATATTGCCGAGTCACAATGTGCAACACAGGGGTTGTTTGTTTACTTATTGCTACCATGTGACTACAGGGGTAAATCTGGGCTGGGAGTGGGGGTGGTGAGAGTTGGCAGGTGCGCCTCGTTTCCAAGGCACAGGTTTGCCCATGCATGACCCACATGAACCCAGAGATGTTTATCCCAGGAATTTCACATGCTGGTGAAGTTCACTGCAAGCTGCTAATAACAGACAGTGGAAAAATGAGGTTCCTCTTCCTACAAATCACTCCAACAGCAAAGCTCAGGTGGTGAAGAAGCTGTATTGCACACGTCCCTAAAACCACCAACAGCCAACGGGGTCCTAAACCAGATTAAAATGCCAGAGGGTAAAACCTACTTCGATAAAACCAACTTGGAGAGGCTGCCAGGGACATTCTGAATGCAAAGCTGGGGGTGTTTTGAAGCACTGTGCTCCAGGGAAATGGATCACCTCCAGTGCAGTGCATTCTGGGAGACAAGATGGCGGCCTGGATGGGAAGGGCACCTACCACTGGGCTGTGAAGTCCACAAAGTTCTGTGAGAAGTGCTCCGCAGGCAGCTGAGGCGAGGGCTCTTCCACCACTTGCTTCAGCTGCTGGAAAGGGGTGCCCCAGGATTCGTACGGGAATCGGAGAATGGCCATTTCAATCTGAGAGGGAGAGAGCAGAACAGAACATAAACAGAGAGCCCTTCCTGGTCAAACAGAACTTCTACCTGGGTCCAGTGTTTCTGCTTGCTGCAGTAGCCAACCAGAAAGCCTGAAGGCAACAGTTTCATCGTTCTACATCCCTGACATTTCTTATTTGGAGGTATCCTGCCTTGGAACAAGGAGGCTCTATTTAGCTATCACACCCAGTAGCCACTGATGAAACTCTCCCTGTGATTTTTTTTTTTAATCCTCTTTTAAAGCTAAGTAAACCAATACACAGGGACGCGGGTGGCGCTGTGGGTTAAACCACAGAGCCTAGGGCTTGCCAATAAGAAGGTCGGCAGTTCGAATCCCTGCAACGGGGTGAGCTCACATTGCTCAATCCCTGCTCCTGCCAGCCTAGCAGTTCGAAAGCATGTCAAAGTGCAAGTAGATAAACAGGTACCACTCCAGCAGGAAGGTAAAAGGTGTTTCCGTGCGCTGCTCTGGTTCGCCAGAAGCGGCTTAGTCATGCCGGCCACATGACCCGGAAGCTGTACGCCAGCTCCCTCGGCCAATAAAGCGAGATGAGCGCTGCAACCCCAGAGTTGGCCACGACTGGACCTCATGGTCAGGGGTCCCTTTACCTTTACACTAATACACACCCCTGCATCTGGTAGCAGGGAGTTCCAAATGTCTATTCTAGATTGAGGCAAGCCCCACAACAAGGTGACAATATCTCATGCAATATATTTCATAGATCCTCAACAGTGTTCACGTGTTTCCTGACTGTAGAATTCTTAAACCCACTCAATTACTGATCCCTTTACACACAGACAGAATTCTGCGTAGATTTCTTACCAAGGTGATGCCCAGGCTCCAGACGTCCGATTTCACATTGTACCCCTGCTGGTTCAGCTCAGGGTTTATTCTTTCTGGCTGCAAAGGAAAGGTATCGAAAAGGGTTGGCACGGTCTGGTGGTTGAGCTACGGAAAGCTGGATTCAAGTCCCTGCCTAGCCACGAAAGCTCACCTTGAGCCAGGCCACGCCTTCACTCAGCCGCAAACTACCCTGCACGGCTGTTTTAAGGATAGAAAGGGGAGGCGAAGAACCAGTCCCCCAAGTTCCTTGCAGGTAGGGTAAGATATAAATATACTGTTTGCACCTGCAGAAATCTTCAGGGCAGACAGACTGCACATTAAGTACAGTGCTACCTCGGGTTACGAACAGTCCTGCTTACAACTGCTTTGGGTTACGAACTCCACAAACCAGGAAGTAGGTGTCCTGGGTTGCGAACTTTGCCCCGGGATACGAACACAATCCGCTTCTGGGGCCACAGGAGGACTATGTAGGGAACGTGCGCCTTAGGTTAAGAAGGGACTTCCAGAACAAATTAAGTTCATAACCCGAGGTACCACTGTAAATTCCTGCTGAAATCCTGTGGGGGGTTTTTAATACTGCAAATATCCAGATACGTTTTGCTTTGCCCTACAAAAGCACAAGAGTAATCCTCCAGGCAGCAATCATGACCATTCACATCGGGGGAAGAATCACAGAACAACTAATGAAGTGGAATGACGTGTGGACAAACACTGCAGTGGTACCTTGGGTTAAGAACTTAATTCGTTCTGGAGGTCCATTCTTAACCTGAAACTATTCTTAACCTGAAGTACCACTTTAGCTAATGGGGCCTCCCTCTGCCGCCGCACAATTTCTGTTCTCATCCTGAAGCAAAGTTCTTAACCTGAGGTACTATTTCTGGGTTAGCGGAGTCTGTAACCTGAAGCGTATGTAACCCGAGGTACCACTGTATACCCTCCCACCCATTCACCCCAAAGAGAGCCTCGAAAGGGTCCTCAGCCAAGTGACACTCATTCTGTTGAAGCAACCAAGGAGGAGGAATTGGGTTCTTTGTGTGCTCTTTGAACATCATGGGGCATTTATTCTGGCACCGTTAAATGCACTTTTGGAGGGGAAGTTCAAAGAAGTCCCCTATTGTCAATGTAAACGTTTCTGTGAATCCAGAGAGGCAGACTAATAATAATTATTACTACAATTATAATTATAACAATTTTTATGCCACCCATCAGACTGGGTTGCCCCAGCTACTCTGGGTGGCTCCCAACAAATTATAAACCACAGTAGAACTTGACAACTCATGCACTTAAGCACCACTTCCCTTCCTGGGATATACGTAAGATCTGTACTTGAACTCACTTTACAGAAATTCCCAGGATGATCAAATGCATTTTATGCTTTTTGGGGGGTCCTTTCAGATAAGAAGACATCCATCTCTTCCTTCCAGAGCAGCTAAAAATTGTGCATGTGAAACTCGCCAGAGTCCATTTGAGCAAACTTATAATTTTGTTTTCCATGCCTGCCTGAGACTGTTATTCGTAATTTTATCAGTCTGGTTTCCCATTATTGATACAATTTATATTACCACCCTTTATCCGAAGATCCCAGGGCCTGGTGTTATTGTATAAACAGCTCAGGATCACAATACCTCAAGGACCGCCTCTCCCCATATGAACCCACCTGGACCCTGCAGTCATCACCTGCGGCCCTTCTTTGTGTGTCTACCCTGCAAGAGGTCCGGAGGGCGGCAACATGAGTGCGGGGCCTTTTCTGTGGTGGCTCCCCACTTGTGGGATGCTCTTCCTAGGGAAGCTTGTCTGGTGCCTTCATTTAAACGCCAGACAAAAGCATTCCTCTTCTCCCAGGCCTTTGGGCTAATTAAACAATCTATAGCCTCTTATACTGGGGAGTGGTTATTGTTTACATTTGTTACCAGGTCATGTATTTTTGTGTTTTTATATTGTACACCACCCTGTGATCCTCGGATATAGGAAACAAACGAACCAACAAATAAATAATTGTGCATGTTTCTTCCTGAAGGTTGATCACTGATCACAAAAAACTGATTGATTGAAGGGGGGGGCGCAAGAGAAGGGCGGTGTGCCCCAAACAACTGATCAAAAACTCACCGCCATATAAGGTTTGCAACCAGCATCCAGGGTCTTCGCCACAGAATCTACCAAGTATCCACTGATCCCGAAGTCACACATTTTGACATGTCCCTGTTTATTGATAAGGACATTGGACGGCTTCACGTCTGTTAAGAGGAAGATGCACAAAGGGAGCAGTTAACGCTTCTTTCTCTGGATCGGCTAGGGAGACATTCCTCCGTTAATTTTTTTTTAATGAAAAACTGAGGTCCAGCTCCGAGGGCCTTCTGGCAGTTCCCTCACTGCGAGAAGTGAAGCTACAGGGAACTAGGCAGAGGGCCTTCTCGGTAGTGGCGCTCGCCCTGCGGAATGCTTAAGATGTCAAGGAAATAAACAACTACTTGACTTTTAGAAGACATCTGAAGGCAGCCCTGTTTAGGTAAGTTTTTAATGTCTGGTGTTTTATCATTTCTTATTGTTATTATTATCATTAATTCTGTTGGGAGCCACCCAGAGTGGCTGGGGAAAACCCAGCCAGACAGGTGGGGTATAAATAATAAACTATTATTATATGCAAGATACAGATGCAAACGTGACAAGGTGTGTCCAGTCAGGCAGAACGGAAACTAACTTTAGCAGCTCTGGAATGATTAATGGTGAAGCCACCTTCTATCAGCTCAGACTGTTCTCTGCCTCTATCTAGTTCAGTACTACATATTGACTGGCAACAGCTTGGCAGGGTTCTGGCCAGGCAATCTTTCTATATTGTCTGCAACCAGGATCGTTCCAACAGGAGATGCTGTAGGCTGGCCTTAGGATCTTCCACATCCCAAGAGGTGCTCTGCCTATGAGCTCTACGCCCCCTGCTCAGCCCTCGTAATGCACAAACTCCAATGCCTACCTCTGTGAATCACAGACAGCTTGCTATGCAAATGCTCCAGGGCTCGGACAATCTGGAGAAAGACAAAGAGAGAGAGAGAGAGAGAGGTGTAATTCTAGCTGCAGACCAGCTTTGGCCAACCAGGTGAGCTGCCGTGCTTGGAGCGACCCAGCAGTAAAGCCTCTCCTCCTAACAGAGGGGAGGAGTTGTGAGCAGGAGTTGGTTCCCCTGTCGGCAGGGGGGCGTATTCAGCCCCCTGCGTCAGCTTACCTGGCTGCCGCGCTACGCCTGTAGGCCAGCCAATAGGACTGGCTTGTGGGCAGGGTTTAGCCGCATTCAAACAGCCGCAGCAGCTCCATCTTCACATTCTGTGCCCCTTTGTCATCAGATCACCTGGCCACCCGCCCTTTAGATCATATTTATGTGTCTGCCCTTGCTATGGACTCAGGTTGGTTGCCCAGGGGGCCTGGTAGGAATGTTTATCCATCAGGCAAATTGGAACCAGCCTCTTGATTTTTCACTTACCTCGTAGCAAACCGTCACAACTTTTTGGGTATTGGCGGTTAGGCATTGGAATATGTGTCGTGTGTTGGAGGGCAGGTGTGGCCATCACCTACCCCTCCCCTTGTTGGGTATTCCTTTAAAGGAATCCGGCAGTTGTGGATCCTGTCCAATGCCCTGCTGGTGGCTAGGGCCATGGCATGACCCCCAGTGACATCATGGGAAGCTTCAGTTGTACAGTGGTACCTTGGGTAAAGCACTTAATTCGTTCCGGAGGTCCATTCTTAACCTGAAACTGTTCTTAACCTGAAGCACCACTTTAGCTAATGGGGCCTCCTGCTGCCGCCGTGCAATTTCTGTTCTCATCCTGAAGCCAAGTTCTTAACCCAAGGTCCTATTTCTGGGTTAGAGGAGTCTGTAACCTGAAGCATATGTAACCTGAAGCGTATGTAACCCAAGGTACCACTGTATTTGCATCAACAAGCTCCTCCCACTGGTTGTTAACCTTCGGGTGACTCCCTGCTGAGCGGGGTGGAGTCACGTATAGACTGTTTGATCCAAAGCGTAAAGCCAATAGCACTCACATGCTGTAACCAATAAAGTTGTGGCCTTCTTTAGCCCATTAACCTTAAATTCATGTGTCCCTGTGTCTTATTTATCTCTAAGCGGGTGGCAGGCCCTCGACTCACAAATCACGCTATGCAAGCTAGAGTTAACTCTATTAGCAAAAAACACAATCTGCAGGCCTAATGAGCACAGCAACTCATCTCCAATAAGTCTTGCCCCCATGAGACTGAAGGTCCCCCATCTCCCCACAGCTGCCTAAGTCCCCTCTTCTCCAAATAATCAGAGACTGTGCCTGCGGGTATCTCCCCTCTGCCCATTTCATGCCTCTTCTGGTTCTGGGAGATAAGTAGGGAAGGGAGTTTGTTGCGCAGGAGGGGGAGATAGCCACTTCACCAGCCTGAAATAAGCAGCTTGGGGAGACAGTCCTTGATATATAAGTTCAATTAATAAAAAGGGTTTTGCATGACCCCACCCTGATTTTAAAGAGAAGCTGGGGTCTTTCCATCTGTGTTGGCTGCTACATTCTGCGCTTAGCAATCATGCAGACTGCCCTCCCTGCCTCACTTGCTATGGGAGGGTGGGTCCCACAGCAACCTTCCCCAGAGAAAGGTGCCACTCACAGACACGGTTATTTTCCCAAGTATGTCTTCGGGGATCGTCTTCTTCTTTTCCAGGACCCTCTTATAAAATTTATCCAGAGACGTGTCCATTAGCTCCATGCAGATCCACACATCACCCTGAAAAAGAAGGGAGTGAGAGGAGGAGGAGAAGGGGTAGAGAGATGAATTGGTTGGCCTTCATCAGAGGACTGAACCTTTAGCAGGTCCTGCCCTGTGGAACTCCCTGCCAATGGAAGGGCGTGGCAGGAGTCATCCCTGCTTTATTTCGAGACATGCCTTTGGAACTTGATTTTTCAAAAATGCGCTTTATTGAGAACGCTATTTGTTTAACCAATGTTATTACTTAAGTGTTACATTTGTTGTGCTGTATACCTCAAATAAATAAATAAATACATAAGACATCTGGGGGGGCACCAGGTTGGCTCCCCCCTGCTTTTCAGCAAACGCTTCAGAGGTTGTGCTCGCTGTCTGAGGTGGCCGGCAAAAACGAAGAGGCTCTGGCCTCCCCGCTGCTCACCTACCTCTCTGAAAAGGGCTCCATAGAACGTGACAGTGTAAAAGCAGTCCACAGTCCTCATGGAAATGTCCAAGTCCATCACTAGCCTCTTCTGTTCCTGAGAGTTCACAGTGGCTCGGATTCTCTGCAGAGAGTGGGAAAGGAAAAAGGAAATAACCATACTGTCAAGGCTTCGGGAAAACTATTCCCCCCCTGGTTGTATTAAAGTCTGGAACGGATTAATCCATTTTGCATTACTTTCTATAGGAAAGTGCACCTTGGTTTTGGAATGCTTTGGTTTTGGAACGGATTAAGTTTGAGAACCAAGTTACCACTGTATTATAATAGATGCAGGAGGAAATGACTAACAACAGGACCCACAAAGGGGAGGAGGGACGTCCAGGAGATTCTTTGGAAATCTTGTTTTTATGATGTATGTTGGCTATGTAATTGTAAAACTTTAATCTGAAAAACCAAACAAATAAATATTTATATAGTACTGCAGCTCTTACCTTCACAGCCATGGTGGTGTCGCTCTGCGCATGATACACTTTCTCCACTACGCCGTAAGCTCCTCTTCCCAACTCTGAAATGCTCACCAAGTCGTCGGCCTCTACTTCGAAATTCTGTTCACCAGGCGAGAGAGAGAAAGACGCACAAAAAAAATGACAAAATAATACATTTAGCTTAGGATCGAGCCAATATTCGTATTGCTAACATCAGCTGGCAACCTTTATCTCTCTCACAAACAAAATTTGTTGTTAAAGAAGTTAAACCTTGATGTGATTTGCCTCTGAGAAACACACATAGCGAGGAAAAGTAGAAGAATATTGAAGAACAAAAGGACTTTGGGAAAGGACTTTGTAACCTCAGGTGTAACAAAAAAGGAAGGAGCTGTAATCTATATAAAACCGGACCCGAAACAATTACTTAAAGATGAACAAGGAAGAATTATTGATAATCCAGATAACATAACAGGGAGAAAAATTGTTGTTAATCAGTGTGCATGCGCCAAACAAGGAAAAAAAAATATCAGCATCAACATACCTTCTCACCAACAGTAATGAAAGTCCTGGAATCCAAGTTTCTTGGAGGTCTGCAAGGAAAGACAAAGGCTCTATTTAAAAGCCCAATCCAGTATTCACCACCTGGTGTCGATTTTCTGAAATTTTGCAATTTGGCTGCTGGTGAGTGTCAAACGGGTACACTCAGTAAAGTCACTAGGGCTCCAGCAAAACTGAGGGGCACATAAATGGGGAGGAGAATCTAAAGCAGAAGTGGGCAACTGTGACCCTAACAAAGGTGATGTTGGACGCCAGCTCCCATCAGCCCCAAGCCAGCATGCACAATGGTCAGGGCTTTATGAGAGATATATAGTCCAGCAGAGCCACAGACTCCTCTCTCCTTATGTAGACAAACTATGAGCTGGAGAGCTCCGGCTTTATTTGTTTTTATTTATTTATTCAATTTATAAACCGCCCTTTATCAAAAACATCCCAGGGCGGCGTACAACACTAAAAACAAATTAAAGGTAAAGGGACCCCTGACCATTAGGTCCAGTCGTGGCCGACTCTGGAGTTGCGGTGCTCATCTCGCTTTACTGGCCAAGGGAGCCGGCATACAGCTTCCGGGTCATGTGGCCAGCATGACTAAGCCGCTTCTGGCAAACCAGAGCAGCGCACGGAAACACTGTTTACCTTCCCGCTGGAGCGGTACCTATTTATCTACTTGCACTTTGACGTGCTTTCGAACTGCTAGGTTGGCAGGAGCTGGGACCGAGCAACGGGAGCTCACCCTGTCGTGGGGATTCGAACCGCTGACCTTCTGATCAGCAAGTCCTAGGCTCTGTGGTTTAACCCACAGCGCCACCCATGTCCCTCTGAAAACACATTACAGAGCACCAATAATTAAAAATAATAATAAAAAGCATTACAGCAGACAGCATATTAGGAATTTGCAAGCAGCAGTTCTTACGTTGGTGGGACAGATGACTGCCTGTTTGCTGATGGCATGCTCAAGAGGGGCGGCCGTTTCTTCTTCGGCCCTGGAAAGAAAGAGGACACACACTCTCTTATCATCTTTTTTCGTAGAATTGGAAGGGACCCTAAGGGTCATCTAGTCCAACCCCTGCAATGCAGTAATCTTTTGCCCAACATGGGCCTCGAACGCAAGACCCTGAGATTAAGAGTCGTATGCTCTACCAACTGAGCTACCCCAGGTACTTTTAATAAAGCAAGAACCAGCAGAGGCATAGCAGTGCTGAAATGAGGTTGGGAAGACTCAGGTTCGAATTCACACTCCAACACAATGTTCACTGGACTGGGTGACCATGGGAAAGTCACTATCTGACCTGCCTCACAGGGTTGTTTCAAGGGAGAGGGGGTAACTTGAGCTCTTTGGAAGGGAGAGGGAATTTTAAAAAATGTACACCCAAAATGTAATCAATTAAATCTTGATGTACCATGTTCAGAATAGGACCAGGTCCTAAACATCAATTCCAAGGTGATGACCTCTCAAGCAAATATGCAAGACAAGGTCTTTTCAAGAGTGGCACCAAAACAATGGAACACATCTCCATGGAGAACCACCAGGGTGTTTCTCCTTAAGGAATCAGTTGAAAACTTCCCCTATGTCACTATACTTTAGCCTGCAACTTTGTATTAAAGGTAAAGGGACCCCTGACCATTAGGTCCAGTCGTGGCTGACTCTGGGGTTGTGGCGCTCATCTCTCTTTATTGGCTGAGGGAGCCGGCATACAGCTTCCGGGTCATGTGGCCAGCATGACTAAGCCGCTTCTGGCAAACCAGAGCAGCACACGGAAATGCTGTTTACCTTCCTGCCGGAGCAGTACCTATTTATCTACTTGCACTTTGACATGCTTTTGAAACTGCTAGGTTGGCAGGAGCATGGACCGAGCAACGGGAGCTCACCCTGTCGCGGGGATTCGAACCGCGACCTTTTGATCAGCAAGTCCTAGGCTCTGTGGTTTAACCCACAGTGCTACCCACGTCTCAACTTTGTATTAAAAACCCTTTAATTAAGAATCCTTTAATTTAGCCTTTTTCAGCTGTCTGCTTTGATGGCCTCCCTCCTCTCCTGGCTTCAGCTTCTGCCTCTGAATCTGGCCTTCTCTCTGCCACAGACTCTCCCATCTCACTAAGCCCTGTTACCTTTCCAGCTTTCAACACCACCTCTTCCCAGTCTTCTCCCTCTACTTATTATTGTCCCACCACCAATCCCTGGGCTCTGAGCTCTATTCTCTTAAGAATTCCGAAACTGGTTCCTCCCACCATTCCTCTGCTTCTAACCAGTCCATGACAGTCCCATGGGTGGGGAGAAGAAAAAGCACTGTGGAGACGAAGAAATGTTTCCAAAAGTTCAGGTGATCCCTTACCTACTTTCCGCTTTTCCGAGGATCCTTTAGGATCTATGAGAAAGGAGAAAGAGAAAACAAACTAAGAGCCCAATTCTAGCCAAGCCGCTGTCCAGGTACTAAAGAATTCCAAACCCCCTGCAAGGCAGGAATCTTTTACCCAACGTGGACCTCGAACCCACAACTCTGAAATTAGGAATCTCATGCAAGAAGTGAGGTTACAGGGAACCAGGCAGAGGGCCTTCTCGGTAGTGGCCCCTGCCCTGTGGAATACCCTCCCATCAGATGTCTGGGGCAACCCAGTTAGGTGGGCAGCATATAGATCAGGCGAACTCGGCCCTCCAGATGTTTTGGGACTACAACTCCCATGATCCCTACCTAACAGGACCAGTGGTCAGGGATGATGGGAGTTGTAGTCTCAAAACATCTGGAGGGCCAAGTTTGCCCATGCCTGATACAGATATTGAGTTGTTTTTGTTTTTGTTATTTATTTTGTATTTTTTTCTACTGTGATTTTATGTTGTAACCGCCCTGAGACTTGCAGGTATGGGGCAGTATACAAATTTAATAAAGAATAAATTTATTATTATTGTTGGGCTCTACCAACTGAGCTATCCCTCTCTGCTAGATGGACCAATGATCAATCCATCAATCTTTTAATTTGTATGCCACCTTTCCAAGGCACCTTACAGCACATGTACTAACCATGAACATAAGCAAAAGCAGTCAGAAGCAAAACATCAAAACGTACACAACCAAATTGAACGATTTCCACGTAAACCAACGATCTTGATTTGGTACAAGGCAAACGATCTGATTTGGTACAAGGCCTGGATTTTGCCATTTAACTCCTAACCAGCACAAACCAGCTCTGGGCTGTGGGATGCACAGCACAGTGCCGAATTTCAGTTCCCCAGGGTTCCTATCCTTGGGGAGCCAAGGGCAAACAAGCCTTTCTTGACCGCTAGAGGTCACTACATCTCCAAGCATTTGGAGGGGGGGAAATGAAGCAACCAGTTTGGGACAACGCCGCCTTTTTCCAGAATCCGTTCAAGCTCTTCATTCAGAATGCGGTGGCGGCAGCAACCGCTCACAGGAGGTTATGATCGTTCAGGTCACCACGTTTCCGAGGCTGGATCCAGCTGGCCAGGACTGGCGTTAGCAGCAATCGTTGCTATCCTCAGGACAACTCGAGAGACGGTGCAAAATGCCCATCTTTTCCATGGGAAACTTTGATCTTTAACGGCTTGGGCACAAAGTGTGGGGTTCTTAAGGAGAGCTCTTCTGAATTTCCACGTAACAGCACCAGTGTTGCTGCGTGTTGAGTTATTCCTTGTTCATTTCTTGGAAAGAGGTCAAGATAGCATGCTTGTTTCTTCCTCCCTCCTCAATTAATCGCCACAACAACCCTGTGAAGTAGGCTAGGCTGAGATGCAGTGACTTCCCCTTGTACAGTGGTACCTCGGGTTAAGTACTTAATTCGTTCAGGAGGTCCGTACTTAACCTGAAACTGTTCTTAACCTGAAGCACCACTTTAGCTAAAGGGGCCTCCTGCTGCCACCGCGCCGCCGGAGCAAGATTTCTGTTCTTATCCTGAAGCAAAGTTCTTAACCTGAAGCACTATTTCTGGTTTAGCGGAGTGTGTAACCTGAAGCGTATGCAATACTTCCACTGTATAGGGAAGTTTTTAATGTTTGGTGTCTTATTGTATTTTTAAAAAATATTTTGCTGGAAGCTGCCCAGAGTGGCAAGCTAGTCAGATGAGTGGCATATAAACAACAACAAAAACATTAAAAACAAAAACTATTACAGCTTCCCCCAAAGTCACCCTGTGAGCTTCATGGCCAATATCAGTGGCCAACTCTGGTACTATGGCGCCCTGTGCAAGGTCAAAATTAGGCACACAGACATGCCCAGTCCTTGCTGGGCCTTGGCAAGATCTGTTGATGGCCCTTGACGCTCTGTCTGATTAACGCCTGGGCTCCCCCTGCTAGAAAGCTTTCGCCTGGCACATTCCAAAATGCACACCCAACGTCAGTTCTGCAGGAGGAGGCTGCATAAAGAATGGAGGGAGGATTTGTAATAATTCTGGTAAAGAGAGGGGGGGGCTTGCAGCTCCAGGATTGCAACAGCAGCTTCAACACAGATGGTGTGAGCTAAAGGGAAAATCTGTAGTCAAGCCGCAGAACATCTGCCTTGCATGTAGAACATGGGTAGGCAAACTAAGGCCCGGGGGCCGGATCCGGCCCAATCACCTTCTAAATCCGGCCCACAGACGGTCCAGGAATCAGCATGTTTTTACAGGAGTAGAATGTGTGCTTTTATTTAAAATGCATCTCTGGGTTATTTGAGGGGCATAGGAATTTGTTCATCATTATTTTTTCAAAATATAGCCCAGCCCCCACAAGGTCTGAGGGACAGTGGACCGGCCCCCTGCTGAAAAAGTTTGCTGACCCCTGATGTAGAAGGTCCCAATTTCATAGCACTTCCCGGCACAGTTAAGAGAAGACTCCCCATCTGAAAGCATGGAAAGCCATTCCTAATCAGCAGAACAGTTAGAAGGATCAGTCATCTCACTTAGTAGAAGACAACTTCCTGCACTGCAAACCAAAGTCTAAGCTCCAAACCACAAATTGTACCCCCAATATTCAGGCAGACCATAGCATCTATTGTTTCTGTTCCCTGTTCCTCAAAAGTCCCCGAATCCTACCCCCAAACCAAAGCCTCTTGAGGCCGAAGCAACATCACAGTTTGTCAGTTCACATGCAACACCAAACCATGATCCGCCTGAACCATGGTTTGGAAGGGGGGGAAAACAGCTTCAACAGCCATTCACAAACTATAGATCTGTCAGCAAAAAATCAAGCATGCAAAAAATCACAGTTTCAGAGTCAAGTCTGAACAGTCTCAGGCTCAGCAGAGCACCCTGAGAAAATCTGCGGTTCTCCTGGAGTCGTGAAGATGTAGGATGGAGCTTGCAAAACTCAAAGAGATCATGGGAAGGGTTAACTGGGGGGAGAGAAATTGTCCAACACCATCGCAAAAGAGCGCCAGTGATGTCAGACCGGAACAGCAGGCAGCAGGACAATGGCCATTCATTACGGCCTTCATGAAGGAGGCGGCAGCAATGGCGTACCCTCCTATTTTCTGCTAGTGTGAAAGGACTGAGAGGAGCCATTAACTGCAACGGGCCTCTACTGCTCGGGACAGGTTTACATGGAAAAAATGTTCCGAAACACAAAATGGCCTCCATGCACTTTTCAAGACAGAGCTTTTTGGGTAGGGGGGAGGAGTGGACGGCCAATATTCAAGTTCTGCTTCTGGCCTCATCTGCACTAAACATCTGAAGCAGTTTCATGCTACTTTAAACCACCAAGGCTTACCCCAAGAATTATGGGAGCTGTAGTTTCTTAAGGGTACTGAGGGTTCTTAGGAGACCCTCGTTCTCCTCACAGAACAGAAATTCCCATAGTTCCCTGGGAAGAAGGATCAACAGTTTAGCTGCTCCAGGAACTAGCTCTGGGAGGAGACTAAAGGGGGGGGGTTCCCTCTCCTAACACCTCACTTAACAAACGGGGGAAGCCACGACTGTGCTATTACAGTCGTACCTCGGAAGTCGAACGGAATCCGTTCCGGAAGTCCATTCAACTTCCAAAACGTTTGGAAACCAAAGCGCAGCTTCCAATTGGCTGCAGAGAACTCTTGCAGCCCATCAGAAGCTCCATCGGACATTCGGGTTCCAAAGAACTTCCACAAACCGGAACAGTCACTTCTGGGTTTGCGGCGTTTGGGAGCCAAAACGTCCGAGTACCAAGGCATTCGGGATTCAAGGAACGACTGTATAGTGCTTTAAATGTTCAGCAAAGATGGGGCCAAAAAGAGTTGGGAGAGAGAGAGAGAGAGAGAGAGAGAGAGAGAGACAGACAGACAGACAGACAGACAGAGAGAGTGGTACCTCGGTTTACAAACTTAATCCGTTCCGGAAGTCCATTCTTAAACTGAAACTGTTCTTAAACCGAGGCGCCCTTTCCCTAATGAGGCCTCCCGCAGCCGGTGCACTTCCACTGTTTGGATTCCGTTCTTAGACCGAAGTAAAGTTATCAAACTGTTTCTGGTTTTGCGGAGTTTGTAAACCAAATTGTACTTAAACAGGACTGTTTATAAACCAAGGTACCACTGCACCCTGTTTCCCGTTGCAAACGGACAGCCAGAGCATGCATGGGGAGGCCTGTTCTAGCTGTCACCGTTTTCAAAGCTGGGGCTCACTTGCTCCCCAAACCTGGAAAACCTGGAACCAGCTACTTGGTGTGATGAGTCTGTTTTGACAACCTGCGGCTCCTGACCTTTCTCCAGCCCCAAAGTTCAGAGGAAGCCTGGGATCTCTCATCTTGAAAGAAGAGGCAGTCAGCCCACAAGACCCGAAAAGCAGAGCTGAAGCATGCAAAGGCCCCGTCTGTCTTCCCATTTACCTACCCTGTCCCTGAGATCTAGCTGCAACCTGGCAAGGAGGGACAGAGGCTCCACATGCCCCTCCCCACGGTCTTGTGCAAATTTCTCCCCAAGAGATGTGGCTTCATGCAAAAAATAATGGAACGCAGAAAATGTTCCTTTGCCCTAAACCAAGTGTGTAACCTGGACCCCAAAAGGCAAACAGAAATGAATTATAATATTTGATGGGTGGTGAGGGAAAACCCTTTAAGCACATTTAATGTTACATTTAAAAAATAAATAAATGCAAAGCTTTACCTGGAAATTAATTTTCTCCGAATACCTGGTAGTATAGTATTTGATGCATAATAGCATTGTGTTCTTAAGACATATGAAAACTCAAGTGAATATTATTTACGAATAAATAAATAAATAAGAATACCCGGAAGTATTTCAAGGAATGGCCTGTAGTTTCCTTACATTGTTTAAGGTAAGAAAACTATATAGGCCAATGCCTTGAAATACTTCCGGGTATTCTTCTGTTTTTATCTCTAACCTTTCTTGAGTTTTCAGATGTTTTAAGGAGGGAACAAAGGCACGGGGGGGGGGGGGGAACATTAGCATTT